CAATCTTACAGAACCTAGATAACTTCTAAATAAAAATCCTTTAAATTAGTAATAAAAAAAAATAATAAATAATAAAAATTGTGCTATGTGCTAAGTTGGACAAGATCACGTGAAATAAAATAAATTTCGTTAAAATAAGTTTGAGTAGTTTCGAAATTATTAATGGACAAACATATTGTGACACTGAATTTTTATATATAAAAATTTTAATAATTAATTAATTATTTTTGTTTTTATCGGTTTTCACGTTTTTCCGTTTAACGATTTTCAAATCACATCCTGATTCGATGTTAATATTATAATATAAATTTTACACCGTAACGAATTCAACGAAATAATTGTTGAAAATGAATTTTTTCTTTTTTTTTTTTTTTGAAAAATCAAGTCAAGGGATATTATAGAAAAACATGTTTGTTAACAAAGATTTGTAATTTTTGAAATGAAACGAAACAAATTATTCTAATAAGAAGAATGTATTATATCATTGATTTGAATTTTCATACAACGATAAACTTTTGTTGTCCCTTTTTCGGTGTTCACCATTGTACTATTATAAGTCCTATCGATTTCGTTCCTACGGGCTTTTATACCAAATACATACACACATCCAATATCCACAGATTTCTCCTTCTTATCGTCTTATATAATAATACCTTAGTGTCGTCTATGTATTTTAGTATCACGACGTTGAATAAATTGTTTATTTGTTTATTCGTTCGTTCGTTCGTTCGTACGAGTGACCAAACTTTTCCTAGATAAATTTAATTAATCAAATTAACAAACAAATATTTGTCTACCTCCCTCCYTCCACCATCCTCTTTCTTTCTCTTTCTCTTTTTTTTCTTCATATTTATATTCTTAGAATAATTCATCCTAACACTTATCTCAGCAGGTCGGCTGCTTTTGTTCTGACCATGACCGACGTCAAGGTAAGAAACTTCGAGTAAGGGGAATTAGGATGAAAGAGAAAGAGAGACAGAGAGAGAGAGAAGAGAAAGGAGAAGGAGAAGGASAGAAAGAAAGCTTTTCCTAACCTATGAACCAGCACAAGGTCAAATATCTTTCTTTTATTTTCTTAGCCAAAGAATTTTTCTAAAAATTGAGAATAAGACGATATCATCGATCTTAAGAAAAAAAAAACAAATGGAGGAGTACTGAGATCGATAAACACGAATTGATTTGAAATACGAAATGAAGGGCAAGAAACAAGATCGATCTTGTTTCAATTTTCAAATTGAAATTTGTATAATTTGAGGAGCGAAAATTATATTCTATGACGTGTTAAAATGTTAAAAGTAACAATGTATATATAGAAATACATAGAGAGTTTTATACATACATATACATATAAACTTTAAAATAATTTTCTAAGATAAGAGGACCGTGAGTCATAAATAAGACGGCCATTATATCGCCGACTGATAAGAAAAATCAGATAGGCAATTTCAAGCACATTTGGTTCTTTCCCTTTAAAAAAAAAAAAAAAACAAAAAGAAAGAAAATATAATATTATCGGAACAATATGATTAAACATATTGTAAATCCTTGAGTTTGGAAGACATCAAATAAAAATAGAATTGAAATTATAAAGAAAAAGAACAAGAATATACAAAAGAAATAAATAAAAGGCTTAAGTATCATTACGTGTATCTATTAACCGGATATCGATAATCAACATAAAAGCTAATAATGTTTTAATTTTTTATCGTTATCGCTATTATACCGGTGTTGAGTTTTTCTAAAGAAGGACTTTGACACTCGTTCTATAATCAACAACAACAAAAAAAAAAAAAAAAAACCAGAAGAAAGAATCAGAAATAAAATGTCGATATTTTTACTAGACGTACATTAACAACAATACACCACACACATCCTTCTTTCAACCATCGAACTTGATTAAAAGTTAACACACACACATATACACATTCATGAAAAACAAACGATAATAAATTCGTATGTGATGTAACGTAAAAAAATACAGGTAGAAGGAGAAGGATATTTTAAAATTTGATAAACTTTCACTTATTTCTTCTACCGTGGAGTAGACGTCAATGAAAATAATCAAACGAGTGAATCATAAATCATACACGCTTCTAAATGAATAAACAAAACCGAGAGGGGAGAGATATGCATATAAATTTTCACATTCTAATTTTCAAATACAAATTCACGATGTAGTAATATCATTTTTTTTTGTACATACTCTCTCTCTCTCTTTAAAATATTCTTTATATGTATGCAGATAGACATATGTGTATATATATATACACATATATAGAAGAAAGAACAATGTTTAATATATAGAAGCGACAAAAATAATTCGGACGATCAATATTCCAAAAGGGTTTGGTCTTTTCATCTTCAAAGATCTCAACGTCGATGATAATGACTATTCAACAAAAAAAAAAAAAGAAAAGAACCTCTTATCCAAATTGGCCTCTTTTTTTTTTTGCTGCCTCTTAATTAGATTAGATAATGAGCGTTCCAATTTGTTTCTCTATTTTTTGTTTTCTTCTTCTTCTTCTTCTTCTTCTTCTTCTAACTCTAACTCTAACTCTAACTCTTTTTCCCTTTATTTATTCTTATTAAAGGCGAACGTTGGGTATACTGCTATCAATGATGTTGAGTTTAACGCCAACGCCTTTAAACTGTGCCAATAAAGAGAAGAAAGACCGACACACATCGGGACTCTTATAAGCGCGACATTGGCAACAAAATGATCGGTCAGAAATCTCAAATGAGTCTACACACACACACACACACGTCTCTCTCTCTCTCTCTCTCTGTCTTTCTGACATCTATTCTGATAATGGACACTCTAAACGTCCTCGTCTCAACCCCGTTCTATCTATCTTCATCACCCTCTGTCTGTCTCTTTCTCTCTCTCTCTTTCCTTCTCTCCCCCTCTTTTACCCTCCTTTCCTACTCACTTCGATCCTCTTAACTCTAATCTTTCGTTGTAAAAGACAGAGAGAGAGAGAGAGAGAGAGAGAGAATAGCCAACGACAAAGTCAAAATTATGCGACTGATGCTATTATATAGTATCAAGGACAACGATACTAACGTTCGCATACTTGTGGACCGTTTAAACAAGTGATTTGCAGGTGCAGAGAGCTTATGATATGCAACTGCGAAGATGCAACTAGTATTATTTCTTCTTCGTTTGGTAGGTTGAACGTTATAACTATGTGTGCGTCATCGTATGACGAACTTGCCAATATATAATAAAGTCTATTTGTTAGAATAGGAAAATAAGTTTGAACATTGATAGTAATAATCTGCGGAACGACTAAGCACACATATTTTGTCGGAAATGTTTGTTCAAGTAAGTGAAAATAAATTGATACTTCTCTCGTAGATTAGTTCTTTTTGAAAATGATTTAAATATGAAAAAAAAAAAAAACAATGAATTTATTATATATTTGAGATATTTGAGGTTTTTGTTTGACCCAATGTTTAGTAGGTATTTTTTAATTCGTAAAATGTCAAATGATTATTATTTGGATTTTATAATTCGACTCGATGTTTGTTGTTGTGGTGGTGGTTTGTTAAAAATGTGAATGCGCGTGAATGCTAAAATTAATATTGTTGAATTATTAATTAAACTGTAACTCGAGCTATGTTTAACGTAAAAGGAGTAGTAGTAGGAGGAGGAGGAAGAGGAGGTTGAAAAACCAATAAAATATACGTCACAAGTTGCGTTGTGTGTACTGGTGTGATAAAAAAGAAATCAAACAAAAAACAAAACGAGACAAGGAAAAAAACAAGACAAATGTAAAATAAAATATAATAAATAAATGCAGAGGATAAAATAAACGTGAAATTAAATACGTTTTCGTATAAAGAGTAATATATATGAGAAAATTCCCGAATATATCGGATTGGAAAGTTTCTGCCCATTTAATTTGTCTGCTGTGCTACTTTAATGAGAGTTAGAGTTCGTCGAAAGGATTTCAACGTTAGGCTTTCGCGCTTCGATGATTCGTGATCGGTATGCAACTTTTCTGCTAACTTTATTCGCGTCCATGTTGTGTTGATTGCTCAAAGAATCAATTCCATTATCGCGACTAAACGTTTTGTAAATGATCGTTAATTACACAACAGCGTTGTGTGTAATTAGGCACGCCTACTTACGACGAACATTTGTTGTCGGTGACGACGAGGAAACGATTTGAAAATATTTACTATTCTTTTGCATAAATGTTTTGTTTTGTCTTTTTTTTTTTTTTTACACTACAGGAAGAGGGGAGAAATAGAAAGAGAGAATAATATGTTAATAAAAATGATTGAAAAAGCATTGCTGCTGACGCGTTAAATTCCAAAGTATTAAATGACACGTTGAACAAAAAGACAGAGAGAGAGAGAGAGACAGAAACAGAGAGAGGGAGAGGTAAAATAAAGTATCAACATGGCGGTGGTCTTGCGAGTTCGATGGAACCTAATTTAAAAATGGCGAACATGTGGGAGTGGAACGTTCCGATGCAAGACCCCTGAATTCTTGAGAAATCCTAAACGTCGAGCGTTCCATTTCGTCTTCTTTAACGAATATAATAGTACAATGCATTCAACAACATTTTCACTCTTTTCTTGTACTTCTTAAGGTTCAATACAAATAAAAGCTCGTCGTGTAAATATAATATATGTCATTTTGAATTTTCAATTCATATAAATTTGATTTTTAACTTGAATATTTACATAATAAATATTCTTATGTAAATTATATAAAAGCAATGCGCGAAAAAGAGAACGAGAGGAGAGGAAGAGAGATATATAGAAATATAGAATATAAAAAGAACATTTCCCATGATGATGTAGGGCCGCTAATTAGATCGTAAGAAACGTGTGCAGGCATCCGATTAGTCCCAGGGACTTTGAGAAATCCTAAACTTCTCTCTCCTTTTCCAAAGCTATTTCGTTCGGCAGCAGATCTTTCACGAGGGGCTGACAGTAACGCTTGCTCGTTCCATCTCTCTCTCTCTCTCTCTCTCTCTCTCTCTCTCCCCCTTTCCCACTCTATATCCCTCTCCTTCTCAGCCTTTCTTCTTCTCCCTCCATACGAGCACAGAGCGCGACGTAATGTTGCCAGATCGTTCGCGTCGGCGCGGTTATGGAGTAAAAGAGCGACGTTGCCAAAGCAGCAAAGGGAAAGAGAGAAAGAAAGAGAAAGAGATAGAACCGGTGGTAGCCACGAGGAGGAGCACGGTCGGTTCGACCGAACCAACAGTCAGTTTTTGCCTCTGGTACATAGTGGGCAACGCTGCTCGTGACGGAACTCACGAGCGTGTCATGTCACACGCGTGACAAGAGTGTATCGCCGGAACTGTACGGCGGGACAGAGACTGACGAAGATACAGAAAGAGGGAAAAGAGGGAAAAGAGGGCTCAACGAGAAAGAAAGAAAGAGAAAGAGAGATAGAGATAAAGATAAAGATAGAGATAGATAGATAAATAGAAAGAAAGATAGAAAAGGTGACTTCTCGTGTGCGTGCGGTCGTTGTGCCGTGGCGGGTTTATTTATTATTTCCCCGTGTACGATTTTAGGCTCGAAAATAAATCGAATTGTTAGACCACGCACGCACAATTATGTTACCAGCTCGACACGGCCACAGCAGTAATAGTAGTACCGTCGCTGCGACCAATAATATCGTCACCACCACTATAACCATCATTAACCTCGCATCAAACAACAACGACGACGACGGCGACGACGACAACGCCGATGAGAACGGCAAGCTGCCCGCTTTAAGATCACGCGTAGGATTTTTTGCAAACGGTTAAGATATCAGGGTGACCCTGTTAAATATTGCCGGCTCACTTTTAAATAATTCGCTTTTCCGCGGCCACGTCGTACATTTTAAATAGGTAGGTAGACGACGATGATAATAGACAAAAGAATGTGTGTGAAAGTGTGATAGAGTGAGAGTGTGTGTGAGAGAGAGAGAGAGAAAGAGAGAAATCAAGTAAAATCCTTTTTTACATAGAGGGGTTCGTGAGCACGTGTGTTTGTTCAATTCAAGAGAAAAAGAGAGAGAGAGAGAGAGAGAAAGAAAAAGAAAGAAAGAAAGAGTGTGTATGTAGTATGTGTGTGTTTGTGTTTGTGTTTGTGTTTGTAAGAATACGCGTGTGACGTGAGATTAGAAACCATGAACGTCGTCTTCGATTTAGTTCGTAGGCTGTGACGAAATAGAAGAAAGTCCTTTAGGACATGGGAGATTCTTGTAGTCGAGAATATCGTCACGTTGCAGGTCTTAGGAATGAGGAAGCGAACTTTGGCAAGGGTTTCGCGGTGGTGGTTGATCTTACTGTTCGTGGTGGTGCGCGTCGAGGGTACGCAATCTCCTTCATCGTCTTCTACGATCTTGGGAAAGAGATCTACGACGGAGCAAGAATGTGCCGCGGGTTGCGAATGTACGTACAGCGAAGGGACGCATCTCTTATGCGAGTCGCGCAGTTTCCTTGGTCTTGGAATACCGCAAGATGCGGACACCGTTACTCTGAGGGGTGTTCGAGCTGCCGCTATTACAGTCGCGGCATTGGAAACATCAACTGCGCTGAGAAGTCTCATCTGGACATCCAGTGGAATCGAAAGAATAGATCCTGGTGTATTTCGAGCGACGGAATTCCTCGAGAGACTCAACTTAGGTGATAATAGGCTGAAGGAACTGCCATCGGACGTCTTCCACCCATTGAGCCGACTACAGTACCTGAATCTCACCGGTAACCGGTTGATCACCCTACCGCAGGTTCTCTTTCAGGGCCTCGATAATCTCCAGGAGATACGTCTAGCGTCTAATCATTTGTCCGTACTGCCCTTCCAAGCGTTCGGTCCAGCGAAGGGGTTACTTCGTCTGGATTTGAGCCAAAATCTGTTGGTGTCTCTACCGGATCATAGTTTTAGGCCCAACAAACAATTGGAAGAACTTCGACTGTCAACAAACAGACTCACGAAATTACCCTCGAGAGTATTTTCCGGTCTCGCTTTGTTAAAAGTGCTTGAGTTGGCCGACAACGAGATAGATGTATTGCCACGTGGTCTTTTCGCCGAACTCTCATCTTTGAAATATTTGGATTTAGGCGGCAATCCAATCTTTCGCTTGACGAATGCAGCATTTCAAGGTCTCTCCAGTTTACGATGGCTTAATCTCGAGAGGTTACAAATCTCCAATATACCCGAAGATCTCTGGCGACCAACAAGCAAATTAAGAACTCTTTTACTGTCTTATACTCGCTTGGAGATACTTCGAAATGAAAATTTCGCAGGATTATTGGAATTGGAGACTCTTGAATTGACGAACAGTCCGTTGCGAGAAATATCGCGACACGTACTAGATGATACGCCGTCCCTTCGAAGAATAGATTTGCGGGACAACAATTTAGCTTTCCTTCCGGCCAACGTTGCTCAACTACAGCATCTTGGAGAACTGCAGCTTCAAGGGAATCCATGGGCCTGCGATTGTCGAATGTTTTGGTTTGTTAAATGGGCAGAAAGCAGAACTCACTTACGTGCAGCTTTTAAAAGTGGCCTCAGGTGTGGACACGAAGTCAGCGGTACCATAGATACCTTGCAAACTCTTCGTTATTTAAATTGCACGCCACCGATTTTGGCACGAACATCTTCTACTGATCAGTATCTACTGCTAAGTTCGGTCTTATTGGAGTGCGAGTTTAATGGCAATCCAGCGCCGTCCTTGACTTGGGTCACTCCAAAGCTCAAGGTTTTTCACTGGACCCCCGATCCGGCATTCCCCGATGCCTTTGTAGAACATCCTCATATACACGGATGGAAACTGGACGAACCGGTCGATGACGATGGGAGGATACGCATTCTGGAGAACGGCTCTTTGTATATTAGCAGACTACTCAGGCAAGACGTTGGGTTATACAAATGTTTCGCCGTTAATCCTATAGCAAATGCAACGACCTATATTATGCTGGAAATGGATCCTGTAACACTTCATAATATTCAAATCTTCAGTATAGTCGTGGGTGGAGTCAGCGCAACGGCCTTCCTCCTGTTGACCCTAGTTTTGCAGTTGATTCGATACTTTTTCCTCAGGTGACTATTGGTGTTGATTTTCTTCTTATTTACGTCATCGATTGGTTTCCTAATCATTACGTAAGATCGAAAAAACTTAACGTTTACGTCGTTATCCCTATCGAAGAAAACATTCAATTACTGTTCCTTGAAGTGATTGATATCACTTTTGCAAAGTAGTTCGTTAGAAGGTCACGAGCGATCGATAAACATTTACTTAAAGAATCGCTACTCTGGCTAATTTTTCTCCCGATAAAATTCTCCTAATCTTACCACGATATTTTCCAGGTGCGGTTGTGTAAAATGGTGTCTTTGCTGCAGGCGCGTGGGTGCGACACCGAGAGCAAAACAAATTTATCAGATGTTGGATAACATTGAGCAGTACAAGAGTCAACAACTTGAGAGGCTGCGTGAAAATTATACTCAACAAGTGCACAGAATCAAGGACAATTGTGTTCAGCAAGTCGAATGGATTCGAGACAGTTACGAGGGTCAGATGAGACACATACGTGACATCAGGGACTATGGCACCAGTCATCTCACGGCACTAAGAGACCAATATTACGATCAGGTAATGATACAATAATTAATTTCATCGAGAATTTTCAATATTCGTTAATATCTTAGATAACCATATGTCAATTGAAAAAAAAAAAAAACGTGTTTACTTGCATTATCTTTAAATAAAAAAAATAATGATATTGCAATGACTAGCGTTAGATTTATTTATTTTTTTTTTTTTTTTTTAATTCGATTACGGATAAGAGGAGAAATAAGTATTTCAAAAAATTTCTTTTTTCTTGATAACAGGTGAAAAGAGTACGAGATTATTCAACGAGTCAGCTTAATTGGGTACGAGAAAATTATGTCTTCCAACGGAATAAGATTCGCAAATTCAGTGCTCATCAGGTACTACGGTTAAGGGAGAGCTACAAGTATCAACAACAAACGTTAAACAAAGTATTGGAAAATCTGCCAAACCTTTATTTCGACAATTGTCGAAGTGGTTCATGCGGAAAAAGCGATTCCGTTGTTTTTGACAATAGTAAAGAGGATGGTTATGCAGGACCGGACACGTACTTCAAAGCAAAAATCAACGACATGACGGCGGGTACTAGTTTGGAAGATATGAATAGCGAATACTATACACCTACGGAATTGTCCTCGGTCAGTCCGCACGGCCTGGACACCTTGGAAGGCATTCATATAAATTATATCGAAAATAACGGACCAAGGGCACCGCTGCAAATCATACTTCCGCCGCCTTCCCCAATCGTATTGCATTCCATAGAAGAGTACGGAAGCTCTACGTCAATTTGCAATGTCTTCGATCAGAATAAACCAGTTTATAAAGGTTCCAGTGCAGAGAAGATACTTGCAGGAGAACCACGAAACGTGTCGGAGGTTCTCGGACTGCTAGCACCGTGCACCAGTTTACCAGAACTTCCACGTGAAACAAAACTTTAGCCTATCAGGAGTGAAGAAAAACGCTGGAAACATAAACAACCAACACCACTACCAGCATCACCACCGCAAGTACTACTATTATTACTACAAGAAGAAATACACGATTTTTCATTCGACGATGGAATTGACGCGAGAAGAAGGAGGGTGTTGTTGTATTTTGTTCGGTGAACATTTCTAGATATATGGAAAATAATAATAGTGAGAAAAACAAAAAAAAATGATTAAATGGAAGCTGTGCTTTCACAATGGCCATTGTTCAAAGTTGTTCCCGTGGCGCTTAATCGCGTTTATCCTCGTCAAGAATTCATACTGTGGAACGTTGGCTCCTACGAATTTCAACAAAACAAAACAAAAAAAAAAATAAAGAGAAAAGAAGAAGAAGAAAAAAAATAAAACTGATATGATAACATCCAACTACAAATTCGAGGTGAACGAACTTCAGTGCCAAGGAACCCGGAACACACACGTTTCCTGTTCTTTATATTAATTATTTTTATCTTCTTTTAATTTTCATTTTTTTGTTTTGTTTTTTTTTTTAATTTTTTATTTTTATCTTTCTTCCGTGCGTTAGACGATTTAACACGTCCGCAAATTCGTGTAATGTGTGCGCGTAAAAACATTATGGAGGACTTTTAAATGAATTATAACGAAAGAGAGAGAGAGAGAGAGAGAGAAAAGAAAAGAAAAAAAAAATTGCGGACAGATTCCAAGAAATGGAAATAAAATTCTCGTGTCCTCTTAGAAACTGTCCGCGATCATTTAGGATATGTGCTTCTTCTTTTTTTGATTGTTATATATATGTATATATATATATACATATTGTTTAAAAAAAAAAAAAAAAAAAAAAATGAAATAGATAAAAATAGCATTTGAAAGGAAAAGAAAGAAGGAAAGAGAGTGAATGAATGAGAGAGTGAGTGAATGAATGAAAAAGTAAGACAATTGTTAGAAGAGACGAATGATTGTTTTGTTAGAAGGAAAATCCTCGTTTTGAAAAAGAAAGACAATGAAAAAAAAAAAAAAAAATGATCAAATGAATGTGATTTTTGAATAGAAGTGCGCAAAAGTGAGGTTATTACAGAGAAATAGGAAAAGAATCGTTTGAATTAATCATAAACAAACAAAAAATATATGTCACGAAAAGAAATGTGAAAGATCTTATCCTCCCCACAACAAGTATAATAATAATACGTAAGTTTGAAAAAAAAATAATAAAAAAAAAAAAACAAAAACGCGCGCCATTTTATCTCGAGTTTGTGCGTATGCGAAGAGACAACGCGCTTTTGCGAAAGACTGAAGTCGCGCTACAGGTCAACACACATACACACATACACATCATACATATATAACACACATATTCACATAAACAGAGAGGAGACATATACAGTGTGACCATAGTCGTCGATTGGCGAATACAATTTCGCCGTTTGATAGTTCCGCTATAATTACTTTTTTTTCTTCCCCTAAAAAATCGACAATATTTTTTTTTTAAATCTAAATCGAAAAAGAAAAACAAGCGTTCAGAAATCTTTCTTCATCTTCTTCTTCTTATTATTCTTCTTCTTCTCTTTTTAATTCATTTATCTGTCTTCTTTTCTATTTCTTTTTTAACACAACAGAAATACACATACACACATGTTGTGTATATATATATGTATATACATAAAATAACACAAACACTTTCTCTTTCTCTCTAACTCTCTCACTCATTCACTTTCTCTCTCTCACTCTCTCTCTCTCTCACTCTCTCTCTCTCTCTCTCTCTCTTTATCTTTTCCATTTTTAAAACTCTGGACGCCTGTTTGCTATTTGTATTTTTGATTATTTTTATTAAACTACTTTTAAAACAATATTACCAATTGTCTCTTTAAGAAATGAAAGAAAAGAACAAATATTTACAGAAAAAAGAAATATATATATATATATATACATACACAAATATATATATAAAAGTTATTAAAAAAAAAAAAAAGTTTATCCAAAGGAAAGAAAAATCATTAAAAAAAAGTGTAACCACCATTTACGCATGTACTTAAATACATTGTCCGTCTTATCATCGAAATTTGATTAGTGCAGTCAGAAAGTAATCATCGTGTTTGTCATTCGATAGATTTGAATGGATAAATAATTAAAGAAAAAAAAAAAAAAAATCAATAAAAATAAAATATTCGGCCTTAAATCATAGAAATTTTGTGTAAACGCATTAAAAGTCAAAAATGTAATAGTTCATTTTCTTTTCTTTTTTTAAATTCTTTTTTTGGAGGAAGAGGGAGGAGGGCGGGGAGTTAATTTTTAACTAAAATCTCGTCGTTAAAATGAATGAATGAATGAAAAAAAAAAGATAAAGATAAATAAATAGATAAATGGGGATAGAGATAGAAAAAAAAAAAAAAAAAAAAAGTAAGTTCCAACGAAACATAAAACTTTTGTTCTTCCTTTTTGTACTACTATCCTAAAATAATTCTCGTTCGTCGATGATCACCGCTTGCTTCTTCTTCTTCTTCATCTTCTTCATCATCTTGTTCTTCTTCTAATCTTGTTTCCTATAAACGTTCGCGTGCGCGCGCATGCGCGCGCGCATATTAAAAATGATAGGATAGGAGAGATACGATTTAACTTTAGCTTCTCTAGTCTTCCTGTATTTTATTTAAACGAGAGTTTATTTGAAAGAGATAGAGAGAGAGAGAGAGAGAGAGAGAGAGAGAAAGAGAGCGGTGAGAGGAATTAATTCGTGGGTGATCGAAATTTTAATAGCGATAATAAAATTAAGTAAAAATAAAAAAAAGGGGAATGGAAGAAGAACAAAAATTATATATATATATATATTAAATAAATAAATAAATAAATAAATAAATAACGAATTGAATTATATTAATTAATTGAATAATTAATAAAATAATAATAATAATAATAATAATAGTAATCATAATAATAAAATAATGATAAATATCAAATATTAAAATAATAACAAAACAAATGAAATATATATAGATATATATTAAAAGACTTCTGTGATTTTAAAGAAAAGCAAATAAATGAAGAAACGAAGAATAAGAAAAAGAAGAAAAAAAATAAATAAATAAACATACATACATACATACATATATATATGTAAAAATAAAAAAACCGTTCTATGAGCAACGAACGGATTCTAAGCAGCTGTGATTAGTCAATATATAGGAGCCGTGCCTTTTGCACGAATAAATACAAATATAACGAATGATATCGCTTATACGAAAGTGTATATCGAAAATGAAATATTTCCTCTCTTCTTCGCTATGACTTTTGTGAAGAGATTGGTTAAAGTTTGAAGAAGGTGGTAATAATAGTAGTAGTAGTAGTAGCGAAGAAGAAAAATGAAAAGAAATAGGAGAATGAATGAGGAGGAGGAGAATGAATGAGGAGGATGAGGAGGAGGAGGAGGAGGAAGAAGAGAAGGGAGGTGTGACGGTAAAGAAGGAAAGCAACGATTACCGTTTCGTTACATTTTTTTTTTTTTTTTTAATCAATCAAATAAAATGAAACTTTGACGAAAGTGTTAAATTGTGTTGAAGTAACTTTACATTTACTAATAGAATTTCTCTCCCTCTCTCTCTAACAAAAGTGCATAATAATACACACACACACACACTCATACATGCTTGCATGCATGCACATACACACATACATACATACATACGTACATACATAAATTCATATATGCTACGGTATGGATAATAAAATACAACGAGGACAACCAAGAATTTTCACGATGACTCATTTAGTATAGTTACGCCTGTTTCTTTTGAAGAAAGAGAGAAAGAGAGAGAGAGAGAGAGAGAGAGAGAGAGAGAGAGAGAGAGAGAGATACTAATTTTTCTAATACACGAGAACACAAGCACACAAGAATATATAGAGAGTGCTATCTCATGCTTATCTAACTCTATCTTTATCTTTATCCTTATCTTTGTATCTACATTAATTTTTTTTTCTTCTTTCTTACTCTCTCTCTCTTTCTCTATCACTATCACTCCCTTCATTTCAATAACCTAGACAAAAAAAAAAAGCAATAATTTAAACTTCTTCAGGATCGAATCGTTTTTTCGGAAGGTTTTATGGACTATTCATTCCATTTTGCGATCATTAAAACCATGGCGTCAATTTGTTACAATTACATATGCATATAGTATGTAATATTTGTTTCTTGTTTTAATCCGCTTTTCAATTACCCTGTGGTTTCTCTGTTTTTGTTGGTTTATGTTCTTTTTTTTTTTTACGAATTTCTATCATCGTTATTATTATTATTATTATCATCTGTTTATGTGAAACTATTAGAAATTATAACGAAGGATGATTTTTCTCGAGAACTTAACCACCAATCTAATAAAGTATGATTTGTAAACGGGAAAAAAAGAGAAAAAAGAAAAAAACCCAAAAACAAAAATACATTCTTCATAATCCTTACTAATCCTTGATTTAAACAAAAAAAATTAAAAAAAAAAACCAGAAAAATTTCTGAAAGATAAAGTAACGAAAACAATTTTAAAAGAAGTTTGTTTAACCGTTAGAATAAATTGTTCTTTCTCTCTTGCTTTCTTTTTTCTTTTTTTTTTTCTTTAACACGTTCAGTGCCACGCGAATTCTTAGTAAAACTTCCCCGTCAGGCCACAGGGGTTTACTTTATATTAAAATAATTGAACGTGTCAGTCACTAGTGACTGACGTGGCCCAAACTTAAATCCTAGTGTCCGTCACTAATGACTGACGTGGCGCTAAACGTGTTAAATGTGTCAAAGATTTTTGGATCTTTGGAAAATAGAATTTTCTTGTGAAAGTAAAGGAACCTATTTACTATGATTATGCAAATAGACGACGTTACGGACACATCACGACGACGACGACGACGACGATGACAACAACGATGATGACAACGACGATGAGCGATCCTAGCCGCGTATTATTTTTAGATTACCTCGTCAAGTTGGCAAGAATAAGAATAAGAAGAAGAAGAAGAAGATAGATAAAGCTTTTATCGTCTTTGAGATAGATACAGAAAGAGAAGAGAAGAGAAAAGTATCAACAAGAGGAGAAAGTCTGAAGAGTGAGATATATAAACAATGAAATGGCGTAGAAAACTAAATACAGAAAGATTAAACGTTGATAAAATAACTCGATAATTACGACAATGAGATTACAAAAGAGAAAGAGAAAAAGAGAGAGGGGGAAAGCGTAAGCCTAGGAAAAGCCTTACACTTTGAGTATGAACACGTACACACATATACATATACAAAAAAATTCGTTCAATGATTCACGTTATTTAGATTATTACAAAAGTATAAATAAATATAGTCCTAATACTACAAAATAGAGAGTCCATCTTCATTGATTCGATCGTTCGATATTATTAAAAAAAAAAAAAGAAAAAGAGAGAGAGAGAACAAGATGCACAGGTGTGTTTGTGTGTGTGTTTAATGTACACATACGATGAATACAATTCTGTTGTTTTTTTTTTCTCAAATAAAATGGAACACCCCCTACATATCGTATTCACAATTTTCATTTGGAATTTATAACAACCTGAAGGAAGGTACACACATTTTGATAAGTATATTTGAATAACAATAATAACAAGTAAAAAAAAAAACAATGAGAGAAATGATGATTAAAAGAAAGGGAAAAAAAACAAAAAAATGTGTTAACAAAAATACGTTTTTAGAGAAAAATTTCATTCTTTTTTTTTTTTTTTTGGTATCCTTGCTTTTGAGCAATTCAATTTTAGGAAAAAAAAAAAAAAAAAGAAAACTTCATGAGAGCGATTCGAATCAAAATGAGACACTATTATTATATATATATATTACAGTATGACGTCTCAACTTTCGCACATAATTAGTTCCTGATATAATAATGTGTGTGTGTGCGAATGTTAAATGTTACTAAGTAAAGGGCTGTAAAGAACAAAAAAAAACTATGCACCAAGAACTGTGTTTCAAATGATTTATCTAAATTAGCAAAACCACCACACAAACACCACCACGTTGTAGACTCATGCCCTCTAATGTAAGACTGAAACTATTTTGTTCTGTTTATCCGAACAATATTGTCATCTGATGGCTATAGTCTGATGTCCCCTGAGAAAGAGAGAGAGAGAGAGAGAGAGAGAGAGAGAGAGGACATCTGATCGCAAAGGATTAAACAGTTGAATTTGTTAAAATGTGCGAAAGTCGAGGGGGCCGTTTATATTAAATTATTCACATGAAAACGACAAAACAGTGAAGAGGAAGGAAGAAATCAAAATAATGACCGATGAAGTGCATTCTTCTATCCTCGTAATTATGTTAATAGAGATATATATATATATATACTCTAACTGTTAATAGAAATATATATATATATATATATACAGAAGATAATTGATTTTTTTGACCCACCCCAATATATATATAAATAAAGAAATAAATAAATAAACATTAAAAAATAAAAAGAACAGAAAAACAAGGGGGGAAAAATCAGAATAGGAAAAAACAAGATTAAAAATTAAAAAACGAAGATGCAATTCGAAATACATAGTCAGATAATAGATATTAAATCTTACACACACAAAAGAGAGATCGCCCTTATCTATCAAGGCCACTACTACTACTACTACTACTACTACTACTACTTGTACTTATGCTTCCTAACATGTGTATATTTTTTATATGATACCATTTTATTCACAGAGCCTTAAAAAGAAATAGAAAAAAAATATAAGAGAAAGAGAAATAGAGAGAGAGAGAGAGAGAGAGAGAGAGAGAGAAAAAGACGCACGTGCAGCACCCGATTACTATAAACATGCTAATAATTATTATTGATAGTATAAATTGAAAATTAATCGTTTGTCACAGATTGCGTACACGATGATAGTGCGGAATATTTCAAATAATAATTGTACACGATTTATCTCCTAATAAATATATATATATATATATATATATATATAATGTTAATATATATGTAATATATATATACATGTATATCTATATATACGATTCATGATTTATAACACACATTCATAGTTATACACATGCACACACATACATACATACACACACACACGAGATTATTATTACTATTTGAAAAGAGCTAAATGTACTAATTATGTGCATACGTTTGGAAATTTTTTTTCTTAGTTCTTGGTTTTTGTTTTTTTTTTTGTTTATTGCTTTGCAATCAAAAAGAAAATTTTGTGAGGAATACTAAATATAATATAACAGAATGTATTTAAAATATGGCGAATAATTTCCTAATACTGTGATCTTTTTTAAGTCGTAAGTAAATGAACCCCTTAGAGCACACTATATAAATTGATTGAGTTCCTAACTAACGACGTTTCTTTTTTTTTTTTTTTCTTATTTTTATTAAATATAGAATATTACTCTTATGACACTCGTTTAGGTTCAAATATACTTGTGAGTTAATTATGTAATTAACTTCTCTTCTTCTTTTCAAATATATATATATATATATATATATATATATATATATATACATGCATTACAAATAAAAATATATGTATAAGTAATAATAAAGTTCATCGTAATCGTGAACTCTTAGAAATATTACTAAAAAAGAAAAGAAAAAGAAAAAAACGAAATAAAACGTGTATTTTTGTTTGTGTAAAATATATATATATATAAAAAAAAGTTTTTAGCGAAAATTTGGCTCATTTTAAAAATATGTCATTTCTAAATTTTCTTCACCTTTTCCCCCCGCCCTTCAAAAAAGAAAAAGAAAAAAATAGGAAAATATATATAAAAAAAAAAAAACTACTTTCTGACATTTGTTTTTTTTTGTTCTCTAAAACGGTATCCCCCCCCCCATTTTATCACGTAAACATCGTTTAAGATTTTCCACGAGAAATGATGCAAAACAAATTGAGACATTGCTAAACGAAAATTCTTAAGATTCTATTTATTCTATTATTTCGAACAATACGAGAGAGTAAATTAATAGAATAATAAGATGATGGTGTTAATAAACATTTCTTGTTCTTTTAACGAAAGAGAGAGAGAGAGAGAGAGAGAGAGAGAGAGAGAGAGAGAGAGAGAGAGAGATAGATGATACCTGTTAAAATTACGTATATGTGTTTTAAAAATATATATAT